ACGTGGTATTCCATCACATAGCCAGCCAGCCAGCCATGTAATGCAATGCAATGCAATGCAATGCAATATTGGACTATTGACGTATGGCAGGTCTTGGGATACACACTTGGGCTCGCCATGTCTAGTCTGATTGGGAACACAAGGCAAACTATTTTTAACGAGAGTTTATTCACAAAAATATACAGACGATAAATACAAAAATACAATTCCGCTATTCAAATGTTATCGATTCTTTAAATTCTTGTTTGGTTCTATGCAATTGTTGGTATGCACACATACCGCGAAGTGGCTGAAATGTTAAAATATTCGACAGGTGGTCGATTTTCATCAACTTGTCTGTTTGGGCGGGAATAGTTGACTGGCTAACCACCAAAACCATATAGAGTACGTCCTTGGCGCTTTAGAGCGTAGACTATGTCCATTGCTGTGACCGTCTTTCTCTTTGCGTGTTCGGTGTATGTAACTGCATCACGGACAACATTCTCTAGAAATATCTACAGGTAGAAATAAAATTAGTTGAGAGTTTTCCTAGCATGGTAATTCGCGTCACTATAGAAGAAACAAACTAGACGTATAGCTGTAGTTCAGCTGTCGAATTTTGAAAATATCACTAGCTAGCAGCAAGTATACATTTGTAACTCATTTAACGCGTGTGCGGAACGCGACTAGTACTCTGTAGTGTAAATTGTGGTACATGTACAAGTGGTTTAGTAAAACTAGAAAGTGGGACTCATTGAAATAAACTTGTACGCAAGGCCTAAAATATACTACGTGACCATTGGTGGTGATGGCGTTAAAGTGTACATGACACGTTAGGGAAAGTATGCCGTATAAAATGAACATCGATGCACTATTGTCCAGATCGCGCATCAGGGAAACTATCATTACTGCTTTACACTCGCAAACACGACTTGCAACTGCGTAGAACAGCGTAGAACAGCCCCTTCAGTATGCTCAGGTGTTGCCGGCATTACTAACCACTGTAAAGTTAAATGCAGAATCTAATACGTACAGACACTGGTTTTCTGAAATTAGCCAAAGAAAAAACATTCCGCCAAGTCCTAATCAATATATCCAAGACGTGAACATTAGACTACGATAGCGTTTAACCGTATCAGAACTTACTTTAAGTACGCCTCTTGTCTCCTCATAAATTAGACCAGAAATACGTTTAACTCCGCCACGACGTGCAAGACGACGAATAGCTGGTTTGGTAATACCTTGGATGTTATCACGTAGTACTTTGCGGTGACGTTTAGCACCTCCTTTTCCCAACCCCTTACCGCCTTTTCCACGTCCACTCATGTTTGGGTGTCGAGTCTCTAATAGCCAATATGAAGCAGATTATAAATTCGTCTCAGACGGAGTTCTACTAAACTGCACATCCCACTCATATTTATAGCTGTCTTTTCTAATGTGTTGCACCAATCAGAAAGCCGATTGTGATATTCGACCACCTGTCCAATGTGATTGGTTGTCTTATTGGTCAACCCAGTTAGAATATTCATCGTTCATTGGCAGCGAGAAATTGATTACATTTCATCTTACCATGTGTTAGCAGGAGCCGTATGTTTGCTCGACGATAGACGTTTCACACATTTTTAGTTGCACGTTTTCATCGAATGTAATTGCTCTTCGGCAATGATTCGTGTTTATCGCGTATCCTGAATATGCACGCGCCGTGGTAGTGAACAGTGAAGGATGGCGGGAACTCGAAAAGAGAATAAGAAAACCCGCACAACTATCAGTAGCAAGGCAGGTGTGATATTTCCTGTAGCAAGACTGAGACGGTATCTCAAAAAAGGTGAGTTATTGCAAAGAGATTTTTTTCTATTGATGTACTTTTTAGTTTAGTCGTTGTGAGGCAATTGTGTCATAACTTTATAATTCATAACTCTCCTGTGCCAAGTTGCAGTTAAATTTATACTGTACATTGACACTACTTTAGGTAGAGCACCGTCCCTCAACATTGAGGGACGGTGGGTAGAAGTGGAAAATACTTGCAAAATACAGGTTTCCATTATTCGTCTAAGGACAGAAACTGCACTGTCATTTGTAGTGTTTGTACGCAAGTTAAGTGGCGTGGCATGGCATGGCATGGGGTTGGTTGCCGACGGGCACGGTGTAGCCAAACGTGGCTAACGTTTTTCCCTAATCTGTTACGCGGGTGGACTGACGTTTCGACCGTGACTTTTTTTTAATAGCCGACGTTTTGGAATTTAAAAAATTATTATAATTAATGCATTATTGTTACTGTTACTGTTATTGATATATATATCATATATATATATATGGCGTTAATTAAAAATATCAAATGCAGGTTTTTAATTTATGTATGTCAATGCTAAAATGAAATATCAGTTTGTATAATGTGAAGATTTGTCAATGTTATAATTTCGCCATGTGAACATTTTTTTTATTTCCAAATAAAGAAAAAGAAACCAAACTGATAATGACAACAAAAATGTACATGACAAACCCAGAGTGGTATATGGTGGCGAGACAAAAACAATTGTATTAAACCAACCAACCAATCATTTAAGAGATCCCATTTACGATACTGATCATTTCCTTCATATAGGGCTATTTCCAACTCGTTTGCTTTTTTCACGGACTAGTGACTTAAACACATTTGCAGAAGGGACTGTAGCACATCTTCTACAACTATAAATATACTTTTTGAACAGTAAAATGAAGTGGTTAAAAATTAAAATACCTTAAACTATATTTACTTTATCTATTTGTTGAATAATACTTCAGTCTGCCTAAAATGCATTCCATAATTTTTTTAACACAATGACAGTCAACTAAAATATGTTCAATTGTTTCATTATACAATTGGCAGGGCGAAAATGATGGGGAATTTACAAGGTTCCATTCAAATAATTTTGCGTTGACTGGTATGTATCTGTAGAATTTGGAACTGAAAAGCTCTCATTGCTGTAGCTATAGTTGTCCGTGAAGGAAGTGTAAATATCGCATTGTTCATTTCAGAGAAAACAAGTCATGAAAGTCAATATATACAAGTCATGAAAGCTACTGACAATGATTGGAGTCTCAACTATATCCCACTTTTTTTTTACTTGTAATTGAATGAATATCTATGCAGGAGGGCTTACAATAAATCATTTCATCATAATCAACATGTGTATGTCTGTTTCTATGAATTATATTTTTCCATTTCCTTGGAATAGCATCTATAATACCCTAAATATTCCAAAATGTCCAATTATGAAAGTTTTCATTAGTATCAATTAGATCCCCAATACTATTAATAATTTTGTTTGCCAGTCCCCTAAAATACACTGAATGGTTACAAATCTTTAAAAATGTAATATTCCAAAGTAAACTGGTTTTCAATTTGCTATACAGTTTCTGCATTTATATGGGTACTTTGTTATCATCTTGTAACATATAAAAATAGAAGAGTGTGACTTTGTTTATCTTTATTTATTATTTAACTCTTCAATCTCCATGTTGCACCAAAAAAATAATATTGCTCTCAAAACCCCTTAAAACTCGCTTTATTTGTTGTGATTTTATAAGTTTCAATCATATTAAGACCATTGTTGTAATACCATGGTTCATGACACACATTTATAAAACCTTTGCATCCAATTTATAAATGATTATCAAATTTTAGGGCTTCAATAATAAACGTATGGCCGACCAAATCAAATGCCTTGGGGGGGATCTAGACACTAGAACACCTGATATATCATTCTGTTTAGAATACCACATATCAAGAACTGTTCGTATAGCGCCCCCAATATAACTACCTTTTACAAATGCACATTGGTCTGGATGAATTACAAAAGACATAAAACATGCGCTTTTAAAAATACCTTTGGATGCAATAACGTCTACATTATATTTGCCGATAATTTGAAATGCATGTTTTACCTTTACCTTTTCTTGGCAATTGCCGTGATGACACCCTGTCTTTGTGAAACGCCTAACAAAACTTTGTGATATGAATGATTAATACTATTAAATAAATGCCTTCCTATTACTGGCCAAAATGTCTTATAAATCAGCAGAGACCATCGTTCCCCGGTGCTTTATTGTTATTAATTCTCCTTCACACTATTGTTTCACCTCCATCTGGGGAATGTTATCACCTTTCAAATACGACTCTGAGTTACTGCTATAGAAATCAATTGGCATAAAGTTTAGAATAGAATTCTTTAATAGTTATTAATCTTATAATGGTCACTAACTAATTTCATTACCAACAACATTCAAATGTCTCACTGTTGAGTGTTCTATTTGTTATTCTTAAATACTATTTTCCCCTTTTCCACAATAGTTGCACCTGTACCCGATTATTAACCCACCCTGTAATTTCAGATCAGTGTAAAGTGCCATATAATTCTCGCCTAAATTTGATTCCAAATCTTTAATTGATTTCTCCAATTTATTTGGGCTTTATTTTTTGCATAGGAAATTGTAAAACTCCAAATCTTGTATTTCATGGACACCCATGTCCCAATGGCGTGTTAATATTGTTGTACAAGTTGATTAACAAAGTCCTGATCGAGACACAAACTATAATTAAACTTCCAGTACAATGTACCGTGTTTATCCATAGAGTCGTTACTTAAATGTAAAAAAAGTACAGAATCAGATGCAATTGAGGGCATGATATCAACTAATCTTGCATTATCGTGTAGGGAGTCTGAGATAATCAATAATCCCGACGACTTTGAAAGTATATCGTTTTAAATTAAGATTTTAGCTGCAAAGAGAAAAAATTAAAGGTCACAGAGAACAAATAAGTCATTATGTAGCTGTCTCATATACTTGTTATCACCATGCACCATGGTGGCCACTCTCATCACTCAGACGTGTTAACTTTCTTTTCATCAACTTCAAATAGTGACACTGGTGGTACTCGTGGTAAAACAAATGCTTGCCTATCCGTATATTACACCTTTTAAAGTTTGTTGTCAGCGAGAAATGCCTTATAAATATAACATAATATAAAATGTTTATCACATAGTACAGAGGAAAAATAAAAAAAGTTCAACGAGAACAAGCAACAGTCAATATGTATCTGACTACTACACGTAATCACCATGGTAGCTTCTCTCAAACATTTCAGACGTTAGCTTGCCTTCATCATTTTCAAATAGCACTGCTGGTACTTGTAATGGGACAATAACCTTTCTACCAGGGAATTTCAGTTTGAAGTTGTTTTTCCCCGCAAAAAGTACTTTACGATCACGGCGAACTGATTGTGTCGCGTCATCGGAGACTGTCATCATTGACCCTTCCACATTGTTTTTGACATTAAATTATTAACTTCAACAATGACACTTCCTCCTGGAATTTCAATAACTTAATATGGATGGTATATTTTTACCCATTGCAGGACCAGCTGGAGTTTGGTGACTCGGTTCAATTTCCCAGCTTTTGGCTTCAGCAATCCCAAGTTCGTTTACCAAGGCTATTTATGAACTCGACCATATTACGTGAGCTTTCCTCCATTCTTTCTGGAATATTATATATAACCACCTTATTTCTTCCAGGTCTATTAGACAATGAGTCCACATTCAACTTCAAGTCTCGTTTCTCAGATAATATCAGTTACCCATCTATGTCATGTGATTTTGAAGACGCGGCTTTCATCGTCTTCTACTTTCTGAATAACTATGACAATTAAAATGATCACCTTGTGGCTGTAGAAAGTTTCAAAACATTACTAATAAACTGGAACGTTCTCATTTGTTACAAACACGGCATATTTATTTACTTAATAACGTACTAGATACAGATGCGCATGCCGTGCTTTTAACGAATCGTATAAATATAAAATTTGTAGTACGAATTGTGTAACGTACGAAACTTCCCGTGGTCGAAACCTTCTACATTCGTGTGAAAAAAAACACATCCGCGACCGAAACGTCCGCCTGTTTTTAAAAAAAAATGCCCGAAACGTCCGGCATTAGTTTGAAGATGTATCAATCACAGTCAGCTGGCGCACACGTGATAATTAAATAAATATATTTACTACATGGGGGCCGCCATCTTGTATGACGCATAAAACTAAATAAGAGACAAGTTGTGAAACTCGTTTTTCAGATTCCTACAAATCGGGACAAAAATACCAATCTTTCCTAGAAGGCCTGTCCCAGTGACTTACTTCAATGCAACTTATTATAATAACTCCAACCATGATGAACGATTCATAAACTGTCTATATATATTCTCTACAGGAAGGTACTCGCAGAGGACGGCAGTTTCGGCAGGGATTTATCTAGCAGCAGTGTTGGAATACTTAACGGCAGAAATTATGGAGTTGGCTGGTAATGCTGCTCAGGACTACAAGAAGAAAACTGTAGGACCAAGGCATATAATGCTCGGTGTGCGAAATGACACCGAACTTGATCAACTTCTCCGCAAAGTGACTATTTCACGGGGAGGGGTCATACCCCATATTCACCCTGTGCTCATACCGAAAAAATGAACGGACAATATTTGATTTGCATGCCGCAATCAGATTATTGCGATTGCGATTACGCATGTGGCTTTATTATTGAATCTCGTACACTGGTGGATTTATTGTATTTGATATATGGGTGAACTGCATCACTGATTTTGTACTTAGTTACCAAACAAGTAATGACAATTATCAAAGTATTCAAATAAATATTTTGAACATGCTCTCGTATTATGTCTTTCATTATCTACAATCTTGTATATTCTGGCATCGAATATCAACATTACTAAACTCGCATAGCGCTAGCGTTCAACTTGTATTGCACATGAACTGGGACAGAGGACAAAACTCCAATTTAACCTACAGAGGGCGCATTATTACTAGGGTAGACATGTCTATCATTTTTTTCTACCTCGTGCTAGGCTCCGCCAATACTAGCATAAGGGAATCACCAGTTGACCGAGGGGGTGCCGGTGAATTTCACATGTTATTGTTAAATAATCACAAGCCCCCCCCCGTATATATTAAAAATTGGGCTGT